GGCGGCCCCGTCCCCCCGGTCTTGTTTTCACTTCCGTCTCCCGCCGCTCCTCCCCCGGCCCTGCCCGGCCCGGTCCAACCCGGCAGCGACGGGACGGGGCGGCGGTGCGGAGCGCGGAGCAGGGGCTGGAAAGACTCAAAAGCACCGTTCCCGGGCGGTCCCGATTTACTATTCTTTTTAACAGAGGAATGCACGCTGTTCTCCCCTTTGCTTTACACGCAAATAATCAAGGCGCACCTGTGAAGCGCAAGGGCGAGCGGGGAAGGGGGTGCCGGGTCTCCGTGTGCCGGTGCCCTTCCAGTCCCCGGCCTGAGGGAAGGGGCTGCTGTGCTGAGGGGAGGGGGGGGGGAAGCAAAGGGGGCCCGGCCCCCAAAGTGCCCCCCAGGCAGCCCCCACTGTATCAAACGTACAATCTCTTCAATACAGCCCCACATACGCTGCTACGGCTGCAGGGGCAGCCTGCAGCAGAGCAGGAGACCTTACAAAAGGAGTTTGGTTTATTTAACGTATAGTAACACGAGGACTGACAGGGATATACTCGCCTCCTGAAGTACATCAAAGTGGGGAACGGCAGTGAGGCGGAAGAGGTGTTCAAGCTCAAAGACAAAGCTCGCACAAGAACAAATGGCTGTAAAGTGGCCATGAATAAATTCGGCTCAGAAATTAGTAGGGGTCCTCCAGTAAGGAGGAAAAGGAGGTTTCTGGCACAGCCTCTCTGTAGGAGTGGGTGCAAGAAATCAAACTGGTTCTAAGGTGATGCTTGATCAGATTATGTTATACGATATGCTTGCCTGCGAGCAGAATAATTATTTAACACAGAGACTATCAGTTTGACAATCCACAAGCTTGCTGAGTCTGAAGCAGGACAAACTGGCTGGGAGAGCGCGCTGCTGTGTTTTAACAGAGCCGGGCACTGCCTCGCAGGAGGGAGGAACAGGGTGAAGGTGAAGCGACAGCACTTCAGTTTCGTGTTGAGCTGCACCGCACAGCTAGGTGAGGCTTGAGGTTCTTGTCATACATCACATGCATTAAAAGTCATTACAAATAAAAGTAGCTGTGAAAGAAACGTGCGTCTAATGAACAGTACCATTAGCACTACAATTCAAAGGATTTCAATCCCCTCTTCAAGCATGGATTTACTGTGGAGAAGGAGTGCAGAAGAAAGTTTTAAATTCTTATCACCAGTCGACACAACACACCGTCCTTATCATGGAGAGCCTTGCCTAGCCTCTCCGTCCCCATTTAGGAGGAGGGCAGCACTGTCCCTTGCTTCAGTTGTCACCTGCACAGGCCCGGAGCCCGAGTTTGGTCCAGCTGTGGCCATGCCCACACAGGCTACCCCGAGCGGTAGACCCCAGGCTGGAGGTGATGCTGGGGTAGGAGACCCAAGCCGCAGGTGCCCGGGTGTGCATGAAACGGGCCAGCCCAGTCCTGTGAGTACTAGTTACATGAACTTTAATAGGGGTATTTTAACATTGTCCCGCTGAGCTGTGTGTCTTGTCAGCTGCCACGACTAGGCCAAATGCATCTCAAACCGCATCTCAAAAATAAAATCATCTAAACCCCACACTAACGTAGCTGAACCTCTCAGAAATCTTTCTTCTGTACTCTGCTCTTTTCCTGTTAAGTATCTCTACTCAGGCAAAACTGAAAATCCCCATTACACACACAGACTCTCTCACATGATTTTAATTCATGGAGGTAAAAATTCCCCAACACAGGGATTTTTCATTGTGTCACAAGGGCCTTAGGTCACTCCCATGCTGTTTTATTTATTAGAGTAGAAAAAGCTCCAGGACCCCACTCCCCAACGTGACTCACGTGACATCTCCAAGGTCAGCATGTCCCTGCGCTGACTGCTTGGGTAGCAATCTGCTCTCAGCTCACCAGAGCACACAGCCTGCGGTCTTAGCCTGGAATACCGGCTAGCCACATCAGTAAAAAACACCCTTTTCCACTTCAGTTCTTTGAAAGCCTTCAGCTTTTCTTGATGGAGGAGTAGCTTGCCCAAGCTACCTGCAAATGCAGCATCTCAAGAACACATTACATTCATTCATCAGGACTAAAGGAGAACTTGCAGCCAGACTTTCGCTGGTAGGCATTACAGTAAGTTTCACTCTTGGCGAGACTGCAATGTGCTCTGCACCATACCCACCCATTGCACCCAGGCCAGTGCCACTCCCAGCTCAAAGCTGGCAGTCGCATCTTTAAGTCTGTCATTGCTCTTCTGCAGCGTGATCAGTTTGTGACAAATGAATCTGTTTTCCTTTGCCTCCAGAGACAGGGCACAGAAATTAGAAGCAACTCATTAGTTCGAGGTCTCTCCATTCTTGGTCACTTTTCAAACATTCTCCTCTTTGAGAAAAAGCTTTTCATTAGAGCTGAATAGTGAAATAAGAGATAGCAAGTTGAGCAAGAAACCTCAGCAGCAGCCAGAACTGTGGCCTCCCTGTTCTTCCTACCACCACCGTATTTTAGACAGAGCTTGCATTTTTCCCTCTGAACAAGGAAGGAAGAAGTCTGGAAATTAATTAAATGCAGTAGTCTGCGAGCCATGCAGATACAGCCTATCTCAGAATTACTCAGGCACTTCAGTCTTGTTTAAATGGTAATGAAATGCCTTAGGTGCCAGATAATGGGCACTGCAAAACTCTGACAGAGAATATCACCTGAGGTCCTGAAGTACAAAAAGGCCCTCGTAAATGGAAAAAGCAGCCCATAAATTATGAACAGATTAACAATGCACAGTAAAATGATTCTCAATTAAGCAGCAGTTAATCTAACATTAGT